CCCCCCCCCCCCACATACACACACTACCACTTATTTTCTTTTGTAGCTCTGTTAAGTTCCCACCAGACTTTGTTCTTCCGTGCTCAAAAGGCAAGGAGGTCCTTTATCTGATGTAAAAATGTGCTCCATCTGCAGATCTGTTGTTGTGTTAAAATACACTCAGCAGTGCAGAGTGACTCCCACTACGATACGGAAACATTTGTACAATGGGGGGAGCCCGAAGCGGAGGCCGACATAGTCCACACGCTCCATGGGGCTGGTTGTGATAACAGCATGTTCAACATAAATGTTGTCATAGCCGCAGGGAGAGAAGACTGGCACATACAAAATAAATAAAATAAAAGAACAGAGAACCCTTCTATTTTCAGCATGAAGCGTTATTTTGGGGAAAACAGTGGATGGTAAATGGTTTTCCAAAAGGCATGCATCTCCCGGGAGCCTGGAGGAAGCAGCCATAAAAACGGATGGGAGGAGTGAAGAGTGAAATTTGACAGGTGGGTTTGTAGGGCGGCCTCCGAGCGTGACACTTCGTTTTCTGCATGGCCGAGGGACAATGATGAACCGCAGATTAGGACGAACGAGAGGGTGCTGAAAAATCTTGTCCGCCGCGCTTCAAAGGCCGGCGCTCCGTCAAGGTTGTTGAACACTCACATTCCAACACTCCCACGCAAAATGCAATCCATATCTCCTGCACGGCGGGGGGGGGTGCAATGACGTTATTATTCATGCAAAAAGAAATGCCCTTGAAATGATTTCTGCGGAAGATTGGAAGGACAAAAGCAAAATACAAATTCCTTTTGTTGCATTAAGCATTGGGCTGCTGCACACGATGTTTTGTGTCATGGCACCGTTCCCCACATCTGGAAGCAGTCAAACATTTAAAAAGCACAGTGGAGGTACAAAAGGATTGAATTCATTACTGGCTGCAGAGTGAGCACATGAGGAGTCCTCTGCCTGCCTACAAAGCACCACAGCCAACCTTTTAAATCATGTAAGGGGAGGGGGAGAAAAAAGCAGCACCTTTGAAGATAATGTCAAAGAAAAATGTAGAGAGTGAAGAGTACAAACTACACCAAAGAACACCTTGAAGACATTTAACTAATCAGCATATTACGGGGTCATTTGGGGGACTTCTATCCAGCATGAACCAGTGGGCTACAAGACCATTAATCTGAACGTGTTCCCGTCGTGCCCTTCCTCTATAGGGAGGTGGACCAGACTTCTGCTTTTCTAAATGCAATGCCACATGTCCAGGAAACCTCTGGATGCTTCTTCAGGCTGACTCAGGGCTTGGAATATATTCAACACGTTGCCAAGACGTGGCAAAGTAGAGGAAATTCAGAAATTTCCGCAAAAGCTGTGGAGATTGGTCGAAAAAAAAACAAAAAAAAAAACAGTTATTGACGTATCAACAGGTGGCTGATTCAAACTTTTATCAAGTGAAGCAGATTATCTGTTTTCATTCGCCTGGCCTTTTGGGATGATTTACAAACATCAGGGTGTCCAGCTGAACGGCCTGAAACCAAAAACCCCTTTAACGTTTGTCAAGTCCAACTCTTTCTACGGCCAAGATGTGCTCATTGAACTTGATGACATTTTACATACACACTTTAAAAAGGAATCACTGAAAGACCTAAGAGGGTCAAGCCCAGTAAATCATCTATGAGACCACGTGTTGAACATCAGGTACTGAATCAATGTAAGACGTGGACGAAGTCACCGTGATGTCACCCGTTGGTTTGTGGACTACCGTTTTGTTTGGGCGTGATCATGCTTTATTGAGGAAGACTTGAAACTAGCAATTTAGACCATAAACTCATGTTTACGATGCTTATTGAGGGAATAAACAAATGAGAAGTAGGCTAATTTTCTTATAGACTCCTATACAATCGCACTTATTTTTCCAACCGGAGGAGTCGCCCCCTGGTGGCCATTTGAAAGAATGCAAGTTCAAAGACACATCAGCATTGGCTTCACTTCTTTTAGACCCGGAGGTTGACACCTGTACTGAATACTAATACACTTGAATTACATCTGCATGGTAGCACAACCGTAGCATGCATTTTAAGAAGCGAGTTAGACTGGGAAAGCGTCGGTAGCGAGACGGTTGTTGCCTGTTAGCTAAACCATGCTAGCTGGGTTAGCCACAATGGATGTATAGCTCGTATAGAGAGCATCTTCGGGATGGCAAATTGGGAAACCAGAGCTGGTCATTTCATTGAGCCTGCACACCGACAGTGGGGGGATGTTAGAGTTGATGCATCAGCTGATAAATGAATCAATGACTTGTTTCAACATTTGCTGGATCAGTAACTGTTAAGAAACGGCCATCTATCTTCTTAAACTCCTGCTCCTTAGAAAACCATTTTACCCGAGGCACGTCTTTCCAACTTTCTCCCTCCACACCCTCTATGACTCATTCACGAGTGAATTAAAAGTGAGTTAACAGTCTAACAGGCAGATTTAACTGCCGCTGATGAGGCTCACACAAGCACGACCCCCCCCCCCCCCCACCACCCAACCTCGTCGGGCTGCACAGGCAAGCGTGGAGATTTCAAAAACATTCCCAGCAGAGAGAGTGTTCAGTCATGCAAGATGACATTTTTATAGCTATGCATAATGCCGCGGCGAGAGAGTGACTTCTTTACTGCGAGGAGCACCGCTGAACTCTGAAGTGACGGGCCGGGGGATTCGTTTCAGCAGAGTGTATCTGCGCCCATCTAATCCTACAGATGCAGCCTCTTAATTCAATGTAACAAAGCAGATACAGGGGGTTACATCTGTATTATTCTGCATTTGAAACATAACACTGAAGGTGATAAACGGATCAGTGTGAAGGAATGTGCAACTTACAGGTAAAAGGCCCCGTTGTGACGATTATACGTCCATTAATAAGTCTATTAGGGCTGCAACCGACACGGTTTCAGTATCAATTATTGATATTTTTTGATCAATCGATTAACTGTTCAGAGTATAAAATACTTGAAAGCAGTGGAAAATTCACAGCAGAATTTCCCAGAGGCTTCAGATTGATTGTTTTGTGCAACAAACAGTCCAAAAACCTCAAAGATATTCCATTTAAATGATTTAAAACAGGGAAAAATGCAGCAAAATCGCATATTTGTGAATCTGAGAACCAGCAAGTGTTTGGTGCTTTGTTGTAGACTAACTTTCTGTAATTTCACTATTTGATTAGTCAACTACAGATGTTTGGCTCATCTGTTGTTGATGAGCCAAACATCAACTACCCCCCCCCCCTCAAACAGCCTGTGGTTTATGTATGGTGTCCGTCTGGTGGGGGCCGATCACTATTTTAGGCCACAGGAAGTAGTGTGATGTGTCAGGAGGAAATGATATGATTGGGAAAAACAGGGATGTTTGTCTACAAAGCACGCCGCACAGGAAATCTGTCGGGCCGCTCAGATTCACAGATGAATAGAGCGTCGGAGGCAAAGACACGTGGGAGCACATATAGCACACCTATATGATCCGTTTGATGCCAAAGTCAGGGGGAATTATAGAGGCCAGTAAAATCAATCATTCAGCAGTATGTGCTGGACTTGTTCTCCCTATGAGCCACTGCAACAGAGCATCACTATTTTCTGCCAAGGCTTGTATGTGCGTTGCCAGAAAAACTACACCCATATTGTTCGGATTCCTCTGGCTTTTCTCCTCCCAAACATCTGATTAGCTCATGCAATTAAATGGGAGAAAGTTGTTTTTGGAGGCCCAGATGCTCAGTGTGTTTCCCTTAATCGCAGCTGTCAGTCTTGAGCACTTTCCAAACCTGTTAGTGGTTGCTGTTTTTTTTTTATTCTTTCTTTTTTCAGCCACCGGTGACCCCTTCCACCCCATCTCCCTTATCAGTGCCGAGCACACATGGAGGAGCGTGGGTTTCTGGGGAGGACGCAAAAGGTCCTTTCTCAGTGTAACGCCTTGATGGCTTTTATCTAGCGAACGGCGGCCCGAAACCCTCCAGTCTGGCTTCTGGAGTAGAATACATATTTCAGAGAGCGGGTATCTCCACCACCACGTTGTGGCTATTATGGCATTCTGCCCGGGGAGGGGAGGGAAACGTAAGGGATGTGGGAGGCTGGAATTAGAAAGCTGGAAGACATAATAAGAAATGAAGGCAGAAAAAAAAAAAAAAAAAAAAGGCTCCCATTCTTGAACAGAAATAGCAACTCTGCCTTTTGTCTAAAATTGAAAGGCCGCAAATCAGAACATCTGCCAGTGAGCAGCTTCTCTTTCAAATCACACCTGACAAGCTTTTTCACTCCCACATTAGATTGTTTTTTGGCAGACTTTGATGAGAGAACAGGATGGGTTTCCTGTCGTTTCCAGTAATATCTCACAATTATGTTAACAGGCCGCCCAAATCATTCTGTGCTAATTTGTATTCTTATATATATATATATATATATATATATATATATATATATATTTGTATTCAGCTAATTACTACTCATTCTGTTGTGCTCTCTGCAAACACTGCCAATATTTCCACCCAGCCACATTAGTCATGCTCTCTGCTCACATTTCAGCCCCTGATTGCAACAGTGTGATTCACAGTCCAATAAAAAAAACAAATAAAAAAAAACATAATGGACATAAAATGCAGCCACGCGCAGCAGATATGGCCACATGCAAGTGTCCCTTGACAGATCAGGCTATTGTGAAGCCAGCGTCCTTGGAGCACAATGTGGGTCATCTGGTGCAGAGGGAGCACGAATTAAACGCTGACACGCTCGCTCTCTTTAACCTCCCAACGACAGGAAAGACGGGATTCTGCAACGTTTAAGTAGTTTAACGGTGCTTTTTCGCGTGCGCACGAATGGGAAACAGGCGTGGAGGGGGAAAAAGGGGGCTCGTCAAGGCTGTAAGGAAAGACACACCAACTACCCCCTCTCTCACCTCTTTGCATTCACACCGGCGGCCCCTCCGTTGATCGCTCTCCCCTCTTTTCGTGCCCCGAAAGGCTCCGCTTCCGCACGCGCAACGGATTTCTTCGCAAACTTCGCTGCAACATCGCGTCTGGGCTCCGGGGGCGACCGGGAAGAGTTGCTGTCCTTCTTCGCCTCCTTCTCCTCCTCCACAACTTCTTGCAACAGCGGATCGTCCGCGGCGTTGCCCCCCAAAAAGTACAAAAGTAGGAAAACTCCGAAACACACGGCGATCACAACTACTTTGCAGTGGATCCGCATGGCGAGAGCGACTCGTTGTTGCGGCTGGAAGAGGCAGACGGGACGCCGCTCATGTCTGCGGCCGACGGAGAGCAGCCCGCGTTGACATTTTGTTACCGCTCCCCGCTCGCATTCTTTTTTTCTGCAGATGATGATGATGATGATGGAGAGCGGAGAGGAGCTGCTGCACGTCCATGGAGGATTACACGGCGGAGGCGTGGCTTCTCCAGCATTACCGTAACCATGGTCGTACTACCGCACTATTATATTGAAATATGTCTGTTGTCAGAATCAGAATCAGAACCGTTCATTTGCACAATACATTTGACATGGTGGATGGTGCATGACATTAAACAATCAATCAACACAGTGCAAAAAATAGATACTTAAAAAATTAAAATTTACAATAAAATATAGTGCACAAACAGATAACAGTACAACAAGTATAATGTAAGTGTAATGTAAAGGAAATGGATATTCATATTTAAATGTAGTATCTATTTATAAGAAAAATGATTGAACTATTGGCACTGTAAGTTTTGGATCAGACGTTCATACAAATTCAATTGCATCAGTTTTCATTTGTAAAGCAATAAATGCAATGATTGCCATCATCAAGTGACCACAAAGTCGGTGTGTTGTATGATTTATTTCTGTAGATCCCACGTAACACTTCAGGGTGTCATTCTTACCCCTTTCTTGTCTTTTCAAAGAGGAGAAGTATTTAGACTTTATCTTCTCGTTTTCAAAAGAAAGTTTTGTCCTTGTATTTTGCAATTATACATCTTAGCAGTCACTGCACACATGCAGAGGCTTTGATTCCGGGCATTCAAAATCCTACTACAGCAGCAGAATGTGATAAAGTATTGAGTGCTCAGTATGCAGTAGAATGGCCCCTGTGGCATTACTGGGTAAGCAGCTGAGCTGTAGTTCATTTCAACTACTTGTACTGTTGGGTACATGCTTCATATTTTATATGTTTATAGTAGGTACAGAGTAATTAATAACAAGCTGTGAAATGAGAGTAAAAACTACAATGTTTGCCTCTGGAATGCCGTAAAGTCGGCATATAAGGTAGCATCACATGGAAATAGTCCAGTGAAGTACAAGTACTTCTAAATTGTATTCAAGTAGCTACAGTAATTGAGTAAATAAAAAGTTACATTCCACCATCACTGCACTCCTGATAATAGACTTTCATCGATGAAGGTTTAAGATGTTTTTTTGTTTTTGTATATTAAATCATGCATTCAATTGTGAAAGTGAGAAAACTAAACTATTTGGCATTTTAGCTTTTTTTTCCCCTTGTTACCTCTTCAAGGACCTTTACCATGGAACTCAACTTGGGGACAAATGGGTGCCACTTCTAGTAATTAGTAATTAGAAGTAAGTAATTCCCAGGCTTAGGAAGACATATTATGGTATGTTCAACATCATACCAAATTTGCTGAAATCATCATAACAAGTTATATAAACCGTTTCTTATGAAATGTTGTTCGGTTCAATCCTAGGTTACATGATGATTTTCTTCAACACAGATCCTCATATATTCATTGTCCATAAAATTATATATGTCTTGTAAAATAAAAAAAAAAACTATGAATTTTGTCAGAACATTTTTGCTGCCGGTTTACACTCGGTACTACTGTAAAAGATGGGCGCTGCATCCACGAGCTGCCAGAGAAGCATGTTGGGATAACTCAGTGTGTTGCTAGTGAGTGTGTGTGTGTTCAGTTTAACGGTGTCTGTAACGTGTACTGTGGTTTAGTGACAGCCAGTGGAGTGATTCAAACAGCCCGTTCCCACCGCAGGCATTGGAATAAAGGAAGTTAAAGGTAACGGTGGTACGGTAATCTGTCAGCCAGGCTAGCACTGCTACTGTGCTATGTTAGCCTCGTGCTAGCTTAACAGGCTAGTAGCGAGCTAACCTTAAAACGAAAGCTCACCGACAAATATGGTCACTTCATATGTCACCGCTTGATTTGCTTTGATTGTTTTGAGTGTAATGTTTAATTCGGCATGCATGACGACCAATATTAACTCAATTTAACTCTATTTTCCCTCACTGACGTAACGCTAGCTCTATCAGATTTTAAGTAAATAACATTTAACGTTGGTAAATATCTTTTTTTTAACGTGCTTGTAGTCTGAAGAGGTGTATGCCGAACGTAATAACAATCCCTTATATGTGGTGAAACGGATAAAGTAGTGTTTTGAATGATGCACACGTCTGTCAGCAAGGGCACACTTTTAAAATGTTTAGATTTTAGATATCGGTAATAAGATGTTTCTAAAAGGAAGGAAATGGTAATGAGCTCATGTTAAGCCAGATTAAAGACACTTAATGTAACTTGCTACGGTCAGAAACGAGTCGTTATATTTGCACACAAGCTATGTTTACACTGGCACACGTGGGCTGCTGCTGTAGGAGACGTGATCAACAACAGTTAATAGAAACAACCACAAGGTGGCACGCTAGAGTCAAGCAGACTGCTGTGGAATGCAATCCCATAGACACTGTAACTGGAGCTTGAGATTCTCCCTGTCACTGATGCTTACAGGTGTGTATCACAATCAGTAGTCACAATGATAACTCCTGCGTTCGACCTGAGCCAAGATCCAGAGTTCCTGATTCTCAGCATCCGCGTGCCGTACACCAGAACATCCGAGTTTGATCTTTACATCGATGGAACAGATTTCAAGTTCTTTGCCAAACCCTACTTTCTCAGGTGAGTTAAACAACCCTCAATAGCAATAGAGCATTGACAGGGTCAAACCAATAGGCCGTGTGTCTTGTTGTAATTAATGACAGTAACAGTCTGGGTCTGTGTGTTGTTTTCAGGTTGTCTCTTCCTGGAAGAATAGTGGAGGATGGGAGAGAAAAGGCCAAGTTTGACATTGATAAAGGTACGTTATTAAATGACGACAACACACACAGTGGCGGTAAAAACAGCGTGACTTGTCATGCCAGTTTCATGGGGATGTTACGTAACAAAATGACTGCTGAGGTATCTCAGTAAACGCACAGACAGCTGTTGCATTAAACATTTAAAGCATGGATTCAGCATGCACACAACCCAGAACACATTTTCCTACACTCAACTCACCTTTTTCTTATTTGATCAAATATGATTCAATTAATTTGCTGTGGTCAAAATGATGCGATTGGATTGTCTGTCACCCACTGCGACGTAGAATGTCAGCACCGTGTGTTTTTTTGTCGACACAGTGACTCAAGACACCAGTAAAAGGACTGCTGCTGCTGCTGTTTTTTCCCGCCGGTGTTTGTCAGAATGTGCTGACCTTTCTTTCAACAAAGGAAAAACAGCTCTTTCTTCTTGTCTTCTAAGTTGAAGAAATGCTATCTCAACATTTATAGCTGCATCTCATTCCAGTCATCTGTGTGCTGAAGGAAAATACAGTGCGACCGTTTATTGGATAGTTTCACAGTAAGAAAGAGAGACGTGTGAGTCCCTGGCTGGGACTGATTCGAGGACGTATGTGTCTTTAACTAAATCATCCTAAATCTCTCTTAAGTCCACCAGGAGGCCTCAAACTGGTAGCTCGACTGTGATTCTTGTCTTTCTTCAGTCACCTGTTATAATAAATAAATGTACGGTTCAGTAAACATCTCCCATTCACAGTTATCAACGCCGTCACGTCAGCGAGATGAAGCTCGAGTGAGAGCCGACGCCGAGCTTGATGAAAAGCGAGGAGCTCAAATTGTCACGACAGCACTTTTCATTAGCGTGAACTCGGAGCGATGTGAGTGACTGTGGTCTGCAACTGGGATGTGTCAGGTGGTGAGCTGCCGACGTATACACACTTGGTGTGTGACTTAGTCCCTGTAAAACATAGATTTGCATGATATTGTTGACCAGTCATGCTCTCATAAGGCACACTGGAAACATGGTTCTGGTTGCAGACAGTGATTGATCCCCGGGGATCGTCTAGTTTCTTCTTCAGTCAATAAGCCGGAGTAAATTAACCGACTGATCGTTGTTATTTTATCCCATTTAAAGGGCCAGCGGAGCCATCTGTAATGTCACCATGATTACAGCTCGCAGGCCGCCTGCTGTGTCTCTTGTCACAGTGACGGGGGGGGGGGGGGGGGGGGGGGTTCACGTCAGGGTTTTTCTTTAGATATATAACGATCACCACGAGGCCGACGTTCTGTCGTGTCTCCGCACTGCTGTCTGTCACCGCGATCCCGCTTTCTGCTGCTCATAATCGCCTCTAATGAAGTCGTCTTTATGGGGACATCTGCCTTATGGACTCTGACACCTCGTCGGCAGTCTGTCAGCGTGGCCCCGGTTAACGCGCTGTGTCTAAATAAGCCTGTAACATCTGCTATTAAAGCTGCACTAATGAGCGTCCTTGTTTAGACTTATAATGAGCAATGATCGTTAAGATGCCTCTTTTCAGACTTCTGCAAGGCCAGCAACTCCAGCAATTAGTCAGCTCCCATCGTTAAGCACATCTAAGCTTTAACACTTTTTACGAGGTCTTCAGGCGACCATCACTTCTTCTCTGTGGTCTGGCCAAATGGGTGTAATTCATCAATAATGTGTTGCCTGTTTGGTTTTAATAATAGTTTGTAAAGAAACAACTTAAATTTGAAGCATTGCGCACAGGTGGCCAATTTAATGTGCTATCGTTTGTTATAAGGAGGTCATTTTCATTTAAAATGTTTGACTGTACAGAAAGCGATCAATCTCAGTTTATTTTTCCTGTTGGATCTAAATGAGTTGTCTGTGTCGAGTGCATTGTGTTTTTTCGAGTCCTCTTCCTCCGACACATTGTGAGTCGTCATGTCGAATCTGACGTATCGTATGTCGGTTTATGATCAACATTCAGTCATTTCTTTCTCCATTAAGTATCATTGATGTATTAAAGGGAAACTTGCTGATTTTGAAACGACTTCGCAAAGAAGGAACTCTGTAACGGTTGATAATCACTCCCCTTCATCTCGCTGCAGGTCTCGTCACTCTTCGGGTCCCAAAGGAAACATCTGGAGAGCACTTTGAGGGGCTCCAGATGCTGACGAGTCTCCTCGCCCCAAAAGGCTCCCGTTCAGCCAAACCCCTGATAGAGGACCTGAGCGCAGGTAAGTCACATCTACGCATCTGTTTAATTCGATTTATAATCAAATTCATCGAGAACCAACCGCAGCTTCTTTACATTTCAAAGGAGGCGGTGAAGGCGCGGGAGATGATGATGAAGATGAAGACGAGGAGGACTTTGACTGGCAGGTTGAGCAGGAGGTGTACAAGGAGAGCTCTGAGGAGGAGCTGGGAGTCCTGCAGAAATACGGCTTCGGCAACCAGAGGTGTGGAGTGTTTGCAAGATTACAGGTGAGGTCAGAGACACGGATTACTTGTTGTTCTAAGTATCCGACACTGTTATGGAAAGAAGTCACCCTTTAAGACGACATTGCAATATTTTAAAATGTTGGCACTGTCCCGACAGGAGGAACTGAGCGATGTGACCGATGTCAAGAACCCAGAGGGGACGACAGCAGCGGAGAGGAGGCAGGGACGGCTCCACGCAGAGGAATCTGCTTTTTCTCCTGACCATTACCTGTGAGTTTATCGGAGTTAAAAACCTCTGACACCCTCAAACATCCCCCCCCCACCCCCCCCACCCTCGCCCTCGCCCTGTGCTGTCCGCTAACATGGATGTGTCATTTCAGGGCTGACTTGTTTGAGGATGATGAGATAAAGGGGCTGCTGAAGTTTAGGCCATGGTGGGAGAAGCCGAGTCCTTCAACAGAGCAGGAAGAGGAAGAAGTTGGTGAGTTCAAGTCCTCCCTTTATAATCTTTATGATCTTTTAATCTGAATTCTGGCGCTAGAGTCAGCAGAATTTGTGTAACATTAATTTGCACTTTTTTCCCCAGTGAACAGAGAAATTATAGAAGACAAACACATTATTTACTAAAAGATAGAATAAAAGAAACATTGCACATGTTAATATAAATGTGAATCATTTGAGCTCTTCAAACTATTAAACCAGCAAAGTAGTGACCGAAGGCTACCAGAAGGTGGCGCGAAGTTGCAGAAATTGAGAGGGCGACCATGCGTTGTTTTGTTGATAGTATTCCACCAAATTAACAATACTCTCGTTTACCATTTTTACTATCCCCGGTAGCACCAATCCATAACGTTCACTCGTAGTATATCGTTTCTTGTAACGGTGCATACGCAGAGTTCCACTCGGGAGTCTGCCGGCTGCCAGTTATGCCTGCGAGGCACCGACATTGTTCTCTGACAATATAGGAATCCCCAAAGGACACACGAGTCTTTCTCACTGCCCCCCCCTCCCCTCCCCTCCTCTCCTCTCTAGAGGGAGGTCGGCTGGAAAGCAACAGAGCCGCACTCCCCCCGCCAAACAGCCTCGGGGCTGCTGAACAGGAAAGACTCTCTCCATTATGAGGAATTGAACTTGGACCTCCTCTAATCACAGAGTCTCTCTGCTGCATTTTGACCAATTTAAACAGCTGCAGATTTAGAATGCGGCAACACAAACTAAAGGCCAATCACTTTAACTTCTCACATTTAAATGTGCAATCCGCTCCTCATCCATTTCATAATCAATGGCTCATTGCTTGTTGTCTGGAGCCTCCGCGGCTTCGCATCTCCGCTCGGCCTCCTGCATGGCAGCGATAGCTCGCGAAAGCCTCGGCGAGGCGAGAGACTTTTTTTTTTTTAATTTTTTTTTTTTAAATGTGCCATCCGGCTCCTCCGACAGCCTGCTAATTCCAGCACTTCCACTGTTTAAGCAGGCGCGCGTGGCTCACAGCCACGGCTTATGTGCAGTGCGCGGGGCTTGTTGTGCTCCTGCGAGAGGATTTAGATTAAACAGATAGCATTATCGCAGGAGGGAGTGCGCTGCCGGTGGCGGTTTCTTTTCCCCCCCCACCAGCGCGAGGGGTCGCCCCGGTCGCTGAAGAGCAGCCATCAGTCAGCAATGCAAAGGCCATCAGCCGCAGCCCAGAGTTGAGCCTCCGTAGAACATTCCGGCTCCCTGCAGCCCCCGCCGGCTCATTCGGCATTTTGAGACCGAGTGCCTCAGTCGGGAGCCCGGGCGCAGCTAAATGGGCCAAATTAAACTTAATGGCTTGATTGACAGCCCCAATAGCATTAGCCTCAGCTGAGTGTGAAGAATGGCATCAGTCAGGATGTTTAAGCCTTCAGAGCTGGAGAGCGCGCTCATGATTTTTAACTGTTTGTCGTATATTTAAAAATGGCGACTACGACTCCTCCGCGTGGGTCTGTGGACCCCTACCTTCGCTCCTGCTACGTCTGATAGATATGTCACCTGACAGATGGATGTGGACACAAGTGCTAATGAAGTAGAAGCCGCTCCACTCTGTGCTCTCCAGTGTCGGGGGGGGTCAGGACCCTGACAGGCCACGACCCTGACAGGCCGCAGCTGTTTACTGGAGGCCTGTGTTCCCACACTGGTCCGGGTTAGCTGGTCCCTACCTGCTGCGCTTTTTACACTACACACAGTTGCACAAATGCCTCCTTTTCTCTTTATTTGATACTTAACATGATCACAGCGGGTCAGCATTAACCGTACCTGCCGTCCAAGGCAACGTGTCGACCTTTCGCATTTGTGGGGAAAATTCTGGAAGCGCTTTCCAACCCTCAGCGGTGTATTTACTCCACGCCATCGGGCCATCTGGACCTGTAGAGAGCAGTGAAGAGCCGGGCCGCCGTTCCAACTGGAGGAATTAGGTCAGAAATTAATTTGCAATCAGCGGAAGCCATCATGCGCTGTGTGCTAATGCCCGACGGAACCGACGGGCTCCACAGCGGAGACGAATGGAGGGGTGAAACTACCCGGTCTGCTAACCTCACATCAGCAGTGTGAATGCGAGATTAATGGAAAAATGCATCGTAGTCGTGGGTCCAACTTGCAACCGTTGCCATTTAAATGTTGCATTTGGTCATTTTTTATATTTTGAACACTTGTTCTTCAGACCAGACGGCGCTTATATCCACTAAAAATCTCCTGGATTATTTTAGTGTGAATGCTGAGCCATGCAAAACACTTCACCGCGTTGTATAAACAAATGCTAGATACATCTTTGCTCTTATATTTTGTACATCGTGGCTATTTGCTCACATATCAGTTCGCCCGTGGCTCTGCACAGGCAGTGTGTTGAATCTCCTCTCAACGTGTGTGCTCGCCGCTGTGTTTGAAGAACAGGGTGTGCAGACACCGGTTGTGTGTGTGTGTGTGTGTGTGTGTGTGTGTGTGTGTGTTCGGTCTGCTCATCCGCGGCTCTCCCGCTGCAGCTGCGCTGCCGAGGGACTCGGGTAGCGCCTGCAGGGAGCTGAAAACCTGACGTAATGCAGCAGGAATCTCCTTCCCAGCAGAGCCGAGCTCCCACTGCAACCAGAGGGATCGTTCTGAAGCTCCGTGTGCATGTATGTATATATATATATATATATATATATATATATATATATATATATATATATATATATATATATATATATATATCTATCGTGTGCGTGTGTTTGTGCATGTGCTCTAGCCAATACACAGCATCTCAGCTTGCACATCTCAGAGCAGGGACTCTCCTCTCCTCATGCAGAGAGAGAGATTGCTTTCAGCTGTTTTATAAGCTGCTGGGAGAAAAGGGAAAAAAAGCAGTTGAGTTACAGCACGTTCCTGCTTGCATTCAGCGCGCCTCTCAATACTGAGCCACGCAGATAGCTTAAATGGGATTGAAGTCTGTTTGTGTCGCCCCATTAGGCTCACCACAGATCTCCCCCCCCGCATTAGGCAGATGTCTCTTTCAAAAGGCAACGGTTAGTGAATTTTGCAGCGAGCAGGGGAAGCGGCGTTTTTTTTTTTTTAGAGATTCTCATGCGATTGAACTTGTATATTTTTAGGCCGTTTGGCCGTCAAACGCGCCCAAATGTGATTGGCTTTACTAATGTTCTTAGTTTAATGTAATTAATGGCCTAATTTTCCTTCCGCTACTCATCGACTCCTGTTATGTTGCGTCTCAACGAGGCACTTTGCCCCCAACTGCTCCAGCACAGCGGTTCCAAGTGGATGTGAATTTGTAAAACAGTGTGAACCTCCAGCAGAAGTTACTGGAAAACACTTTTTTTAATAACATAGTTTACATCGATCCACATCAGAGTCCTCAGCCAGACGGCTGCTGGGGAGGCACAGCAGGAACATCCGTTTCATGCAGCTGGTTTGGTTGCGTTGACCCGGCGGTTAGAATTTGTTCCTGGACGTTTAGGAACGTCGACCTGTTGAAAGCCGCTCTGCACTCTGATGGAGCCTCCATCCCGCCAGTGTGATTAAACCGTCTGCCCTCCGCTTTGTTCACACCCATTCCAAACCACGTTTGTGCCGCACAGCTGGACCGTAAGCTGCCACATCAGAGTAAAAATCAACCTGCAGCTGGACAGCTGATCCGGTTATATTACCATAACAATGGCATTTCAAGGTTGGACCGCGTCGATGACACGTACGCGGTAACGTTAATGAGTTTCTGAGACGCCGTCTATTTCTGTTTTTTGTCACTGCGGCGCAATTCTGAACACGGACTTTTTTTCTTCGCCCACATGATTCTTTTGCCGTTCTGTGTCTCAAATATAACGGACTCTTGGTGACTTGAAATCAAACTTTTTATCTCCCTCATTCCAGCAGCCGTGTCGTTCACCGACGATGAGAAGGAGCAGCTGAGGAAATTCACCAACCGCTCGTACCTGCTGGACAAGACGTCCCGTCACCAAGTGTGGCTCGGCCTTGTGGACGTCCTGCTGGCTTACTGCTACGAAGCGCGCTCCACGGAGGGAGAGCACAACGTGAGTGTGTGTGTGTGTGTGTGTGTGAGAAGAAGCGATTCCTCCGGAGCAGCACTTAGCCTTGGATGACAAAGCCCTCGATCCTCAAATCCTTTAGAACCCCTTCCATTTCATTCAGAGCCTTAAGAGATTACCAGCCGATCCGAGGGCTCAGTCCAGGCCTCTTTGTGTCAGTCCTCTAAGGTAGCCGCAGCAAAGCAAGGTGAGCGGGGCTGATTTCATTGTCAGAGACATGTAGCATGTGTGATCAGGAAGTACCAGCGATGTTTGATACAGCAGAATGTTGAATTAATACATTTGATTTCCATTCGCAATATTCTGATAAAGAGAGAGAGTCTAGAACAAGCCCCCCCAGGGTATTTGAAATAGCTTACAGCTTGCTCTTTACTGTGAACATGCTTTTGTCCGAGCAGAATTAATTATACTGTGTGTCTCCGGTCTTTTATTGTTCTGGTGATAAGTGGTCCTCTTCGTCCCCCGCAGGTTGAATCTCCGTGGACTATCAGAAAACTCAGCGGGACTCTCTGCTGGCTGGAGGTGAGCGGGGGGAAAAGGACCAAATAAAGTTCTGGTTCATTCCCATCCCTCGTTCAAACTAACTAGCACAAAGACAACTGCTTATGTGTCTGGAGAGGGGGGGGGATATAGAGGCAGTTCAGGGCATGATTTCCATTGAAGTGTATCCTAATCAGCACAAGGCTGAAGGTTTGTGGCGAGTTGAGACGTTTGCCCGGTATCTCAATGGTGCCATTCTCACTGACGCAGTTCTTCGAGTCAGCTTCATGTTGGCAAAGAACTGGTTGTGAAACGAGGTAAGAAAAAAAAAAAAAACACACTTCTACCTTATTTTGCCATTATTTTCAACAGTTATTTCAGCCGTCAGCTTTGTAAAAATAATGAGCCTCATGCAGGAAGGGATCGAACACATTTCCTCTTATTTTCCTTCCTATCCACAATTATGTCTTATTTTGTTGGTGCCCATTGGTTTCTGGGATTCTCCGTTGTTTTCTAGTTGTTGCTCTTCTCTTAGGGAAGAGAACATGTTGAGAGCAGTTTTTACAGACCACTAATTGTTGTCCAAAGTAAAAGAAAACGCATGAATATCATAATCAAATTTAGATTATTATATTAATTAATTGTAACTATTGGATGATTCAATTTGTGGGCTGAAGAAATACTATTGGTCCATTAATCCTAATTAAGATGACAAAAACCTTTTGCATGACATTGGGTGTGTTCAGCTTGGCTTACACATAGATTGCTTTTCGCTTTTAAATTTTTCTGTAACACCAGTAGGGACACGTCTTCAGTTCTTGGGCATGTGACATGGTGTTTCCACACAACACCTGTCCTTATATAGTGTTGGCGTTAACTACGCTAATGAGAAACAATCTGCCACACTGTGATTCTTTGAATTAGCAACAATGTGAATACGACTAAGAATGTCTTTTTAGTTTTTTTATCCTCTTGTTGTTCTCAGACGTGCGGTTGCCTCCTCTCATGGCTCCGCAGCTTCATGTCCTGACTGGATGTGATATAAAATGATTAGAGAGACTCTGGAGGTGAACATTGACGTTTTAATGCGTCTGTGTGACTTTCACACACACACACACACATATTTCACTCTGTGTAAATATGCTGACTGCTGCCTCAGTGTTTGTTGACACATGAGAGACTGCTGTTTGCTCTGAAGTTAACGGTCCAGGTCCAGCACTTATCCGCGTCACCAACACGGACCTTCAGTGGGATCTTCAGGTCGTTTGTTTTAATGGTCGGAGTGGTTCCTGTACAACGGCAGTAACAGGTGTTCCCAATTCAAAGAGCAAATGACAGCGTGCACGCTCACAACCTGCCACCAGACAGTCACTTGAGTGTGCGTGACTAACGTTAGAAATATGAGTTTTCGACATCTTAGCCCATGTGAACAATAGCAGGACAACGTGTTTTGTGTCCCACGAGATGATTTCCTAGAGGTTCCCGTTCCACATTGACGTGCCAAAGCAGCAGGGAATATTTAAATCTCTGCCTCCTCCCGGGGCTGATGATTGCTGCATCTAGCGCCGTTGGTTGATGGGATGCTTTGTTTTGACAGACGAATGACTCTGTTTGCAACCTTTTTATTCCAGTGTTTTTCCTGCTCCCTGTTATCGCCTGTTTTAGTATTTCTGTTTAGTCAAACGCACAACTCAGGTGTTAACGTGTGTTCATTCTTCAGTGTAAACATAAACATGAGATCAGTTTGGGTTCTTGCTCATACCTTTTACGTGTAAGGCAACATCAGGCTTGACTTAAACTTAGCTTCCTTCACTTTTTAAGACAATATAAATATATCTAAAAACATAGATATTAATTTATTGAATTGTCGAATTTATTATTTAAAGAATAAATCAGACACTAGCAGCAGGAACTACAATTCAAATTCATTTACATGTCGACAACAAGAGGGATGTACCGTACTTAATCCTGAGAACGTCATTATCAACACTCCACGGGTGTCGGACACGCAGTTCTTGTTTTTTCCCGTTCCGCATTCCCATTTCTTCTTTAAACGATACCGTCATAGAAACACAAGACGCCTCCAGATAATATACAGATCATACTGTTTTAATGTTATGGCCACCAGTTTGAATCATTTCATATTCGTTTGTCATGTTTTGGCATGGTGGACATGTCTAAATACTGCAATACCCATGAGCCTCGGCCACCGTTGCAATGGAAAAGAGGCCCATCAGAGATTTGCCCACATGTAATGCATTTTACACTATGACTTAAGGTGCATTTCAATTAAAGTCCACCTCGAAATGTAAATAGACGTTTACCTTTTAGCAAAGAACCAAATATTTTTTCATTCTTCTGTGCTAAGTGTAATCACATTTTTGCCGTAACCCCTGAACGAACAACCAGACAGCAAATCTCAACTGACCGTCATTAGCCTTTAATGAAGTCTGTATGTCGCCCAATACCTCTATTGTATTTGATTCTATTATTATTGGCGCCCAAGAGGGTTGTGGGTTGCTGTTGACTGCAGATACATCTGCCTCTAGACCGATTTTTGAATAGACAGTCCTTCTACAAATGTTGCGCATTGGAGCTCACGCTGCACCACAGATGTGTGATCAAATCATTGTAATTATGAACGAGCCACCGAGGCTGCCCGGAGGGACTGGTTGCCTGGACCTTGACCACAGTTTGAGTGTTTTGTAGTTCCCACCGCCGCGGTGCCAGTGGAGTTAAGAACTCTGCACCTGCCTGGCAGCCCTTTACTGCTCGTCAGTCAGTCAGCAGAGCTGTCGGCTCCCATTGACAGTCCCGCCTCGCTCTCGTCCACCTCCTCCTCCTCCTCCCTTGAACTCGTGCTGCACAATAGATTCCTCTCCGCCTTTGACTGCCTGTCTGTCTGCGTGTCACCGCTGAAATCTCTCTTTTTTTTTTTCTCTCTCACTGTCTATCTCGCTCCCCCTGTGTCTAACATTCGCCTCCCCGCTACACAACTCCGCCTCCCTCCTCCCTCCATCTGCTGCGGTGTTTACTTGTCCTCAGTCGACTGCGCTGGTGCGACTGTGAGCGGCTCCCCAGCAGCAGCAGACCTTATTTACACTCGTGCCGAACAAGCCCGAGGGAGAGCATGATCCCGGGTGACACGCACTCGCGAGCTCGCAACACATCCCTAACAGGGGGGAGGGGGGAGGGGGGGGGGGGGGGGGAGTGAAGGCAGTGATTGGAGAGATGCAGCAATTAACGGGCCCGGTGCTGCAGAGGTGTTTAAGATCTGCGAGCTACTATTTCGCCAGGAGTTGTTCGGGAGTAATTAGAGCACCAGCGGCTGCAATGCACACCAACGGGAGCCGGTCTTTAAAACAAAACAAATAAAAAGGAGAGGAAGGAAAATATTCTTGGGCTCGAAATATATGGCCGAATCACAAACCTTTACTGTCAGCTGCATCTCCACTTCCTCCTCTTACTGAATAGAAACGTGGTCTGTCTTTGTGCTGGATGGCCGTCTTGAGTTTCATGTTCTCTGTTCTGCAGACTTACAGCTCCCTGCAGGACGTCCTGGTGTCTTTTGGTCGGAGGGTTTTGTGCTACCCACTCTACAGACACTTCGCAATGGCATCGGCGGCTGTTCGTGACACAACTACGATTTTGCAGTCAGGTGAGTCGCCAAGAAGGACCACACTACCATACACAAACACACACACAAGCCTTTTTTTTCCATTTTCATGTTTTTATGTGCATTTTGCAGTGTTGCATTAGAAAAGCTGAATGGAAACTGCTCAAGTTTTTTCCGATCGCTTGAGGTGGTTTTTGCCTTTTCTCAGAAAAATGTTGATGCGCTAAATGGCTTATGGAAACTTCTTTGTGACGCTTGTGACATTTAACTCGCACGACTGATCTGGTGTCTCTACTGTCGGCGTCTTCTCGGATAGTCCCATAACTATAAAATAGTAGCTGACATGAATTAACAATTAAAACTTGCCCAATTGAAACAAATCCCCAAAGATATCTTTCCATTTTTCTCTCGTTGATGGTCAAGCTGACTTGTCTTGTTTCCAGTGCGCAACCAGGCGGCATCCTCCGTTTCTGCCAAGTAGAGCCAATGTCTTAAAACTTGCATTCTCTCTACTCACCAGCAGGGGGCGACACCAAAAGGAGTCTGATTGTATAGAAGTCTATGAGAAAATGACTCTACTTCTCACTTGATTTATTACCTCAGTAAACATTGTAAACATGAGTTTATGGTCTCAATCTCTAGTTTCAAGTCTTCTTCAATACAGCATGATGTTCATTTAGTAAATTAAGGTCCATAATAATTGATAGCTGCCGCTATCGGAGCCGTATCCGGCGTCTCTACATCACTTCTCTACATTCCAAATATGGTAACTTCCATTCATTGGTTGCGGGAAAAAACGAACTCGAGGACGGACAGAGTTTTGGAGAAAGTGGTTCCTGAGCCAATGTGTGTGCTTTTGAAAGTAACATTCCCCCAGCTAAACAAGAGAGTGGCCCCACTCCCACCACCTCGGGGAGCGAGATGTGGATTCGTGGAGAACGGACTGTTGACTTAGATATCTCAAATCCCAGAGTAATCTTTAAATCAAAAAGCCCCCACGGACAGATGAAACGCCGCGGTGTAAACACACTCGGGGTGTGTGAGGGCTAAGATTATCCCGCTTGTGATGATTTTAACGCTGGTAAATGACAGCAAATTAAAGGCCTTTTAAGCTCCAGATTAGCATTTCCACGCCTCATTAAGTAGGAAGATGAGTTGATCAAGAGAGCCGGGGAAACGGCAGCTAGAGTCACTCTTCCCCCTCACCTTCTCTCTCTTACCTCGGAAACACCTTTCCTGCCATATCGTCGGCTTTGTTTATTTCTGTCAATTTATTACGGGGGGAAAAAACACATTATTTTACGATTGTTTTTCGCTCGCAACTCATAACCTTCATTATTTGCGAGCATTAGGGAAGTCTGAGTAACGGGGCTTTTCCTTAATGAACTGTAACACGACAGTAATTCGGGCCGGCGTGTGTCTGTGCTTCCTCCCAGCATTGCTTTACACACTTAATTAATTCGTCAGGATAAAGCAAATGGGAACGCACGCTACAGTTTCGAGGCACTTCATTTAAGTGGCCGTGAAGGCAAACATTCATAGGTATTAGCAAAACAAACCCATTAACGGCAGCGCACGGGTTGAGGCCTTTCGAGGAAATCCTATCCGGTGGGGGTAAATATTTGAACAGCCCCTCAGGAAGCAGGTGGAGGAGCTCCTTGAGAATACTCTCCATGCTTCCGAAGTCGTTGACTAAAGAGCTACTGGGCAGGTACAAAGAGCTGGGAGGGGGGGGAGGGGGTGTCATGATAGCACCGATAAGACAAGATGTGGACCTCAGTGACACATCCATCCACCACCACGCGTCTCTGCCTTCATTCACTGAGGCACCGTCTGCGCTGGTCACGGATTTTCTTCCAGAATTCTGAGGGGGCGGGGGTGAAGTTTAGGGAATTTAATCAAATTGTAGGTCAAAAAAAGCACTCTGACCCAGTTATGGAAAGTGGAGGGAGAGTGATGCAATTCTACAACCAGAGAAGGGTGTGCACAGACGGGATGAGATGCATGGGATGTGTGTGACGGAGGGGAAAAAAGGAAAAGACTTGACGAAAGGGAAAGTTTGACTGAAGGTAGCCAATCTTAAATGCTACAATATGTGCATTGATTTTAAACTAGATGTTCTGAACTAGACTATTAAGATTGTGATGTCAGTGCAGTGGTCACATATGGGGCCCTGGTCCTTTTAGACCGGACACCGGATGGAGATGTGCCTCTCCTGACTTTAAAGCACATCATCAGTGGCACAAATCAGACAAATGTAGAACTCTGAAACAGATGTTATTCTCACGTTCTTATAATAGACGATATAAACTAAGGTGCGGTCCAATTCTATCACACCTAGTAGATATATGGTGTGACACATGAGACATGTTTCATAGTATGTATTTCTTTACATACTATGAAACAGATTCCAAGCTGGACGAACATTAATGTTTATGTACTTCATTTGGGAATAAAGCATAGAATGTGAGGGGGGGGGGGTGCTGCATCGGCAGTTTTTGGAATCTCTGCATTTTTGTCCAGAAGACACAGCCGGCTTTGTTTTTGTTCCACTTCACACCCGCCTCTGCATCTATACAAGGCTGCTCGCTTGGCAGCCATGAAGGATTTACTGTTGTATACATTTGGATTCGGATTTTCCCCCACTCGTCGGATAACCTGCTCGTACATAATTAAGACACCATGTTTACTTCTTCTTTAGGATATCTCACCAGGAACATCAGTGTTGGACTGAGAGCGAACCTTTCCTCTGACTTCCCACAAACTACTCATGAATATTCCCTCTGAAAAATAAGTCAAACGTTGGAAGTGAGTGTGTATGTTTTGCCTCACATGAGCCAAGAGTTTGAGTTCCCCTGCATGCGATCCCATTCTTAAATGAGAGCCAAATGTTTGCTTAAAGCTTTCGTCGTCGGGAGTGCGCAGTTTATTTTGATACGTCTGGAATGTCTCTGGACAATGCCAACCGGCTCGGCGGAGGTGCAGGGGAGCGTTTTCTCCTTCGCCCTCGGTGGACCGCCGGCCACATCACGAGGCTATTTATACACCTGATTGGAGGGAGAAGTGCTGCGGCTGGTTTGTCTTGTCGTACGCTGCGGGGGAGGGGGAGTAATCTGCAAGAATAACAAATAGAGATTCCGTGTGATGCTTTTGTGGTGTTGAAAGCTAAAATGGCCACCTGACGGTGCAGGTGTCGAGTCGACCATGAACCATGTCTTGTGCGTTTAAACCTCCTTTGGTTACCTCTTGCTCTACATAGACGATGTTGTAAAGTGAGCATCATCTCAGGACTATGAAGTCCCCAAAAGCAAATGAATACCCAGAAGAAAACATGCTTTACGTGGTTTTAATTTGATAAGATTTATTTTAAAGGAGAAGTTTTGTGTGCTTTCGGTGGGTGTAGACAAAACTATAATCTGTACTGATTATCTGAGCTGTTAAGGCATCAGTTCACCCACGTCTACCATATTTCCTCAAAATCATGCATGTGAGATCTACTATGCAGAGATTTTTGATTTTACGTGCCAAGGTTTTGAGATATTCATCTTAATTTCTGCTGCCTCCAACCCCAGAGTTGCATAAAAACCCCACGAATACATCTTCTTTAAACGCGGGACATCTGCATTCAGGACGGGAGAACAAAGTACTCTCCAAAACTTTTTTTGTTTTAGCATAAGCCCAGTAGTGTCGCATTTGTTCTTTATCTGTGTCCATATTTCATACCACACATCAATAACGGGAGAAGTGGCAGAATTGAATTTACTCAAGTAGTTCAAACGCTTAAGCTGCGAGTCAGAGTGGGTGGCAGATCCATACTATAGAATCGTCGGGATAAGATCGCACCTGTGTTGTACGCCCCCCGAGAGCTTCAAGCTGTGTAGTTAAGTGGCCTCATATTGGATTTAATACCGTGCACACACACACACACACACACACACACACAAAAAAACACTCTCACTGGATTGAATTATTGATAACTGTCAAAAACACCCGTTTTAAATCGGGCCCTTGGGTTTGTTGGATCACAATGATTCAGATTAGGACTGCAGTGATGCTGCATCGGCACACTTGAATGGCTGTCAAGTGGGGGAAAAAATCATCAAACGCATTCAGTGCTATTTCTGACGGATCAAAGCAAACACATTTTTGACAGAAAGTCTGAGCAGACCAGTAAATTGACAGACTTAAAACGCCCAAAATAGAGTTTGTCTTCTTTGGCTCTTTTGTCTCAAGACGAACCTCGTCTTGCTCTTCTTAAACCACACGGATCAAATTACTCCGCAGCTCGGCCGGGTTTCCCCTTCTGATCCTCTACCTCGGCTTTCATGTACGGAGCAATGAGTGCGAGCCTTCAGATGCACGCTGCCAGCAGCTGGAGTGCATTGTCACCCTTAATACCGAGCGCGAATAACACTGTTTTTCCATTTGCCTGCCGCGGCGTGTTCCTGTGCCCAGGGAGAGCCGGTGTCCTCAGATGCCTGCTGGATATTCACAGAGTGTTCCGAGAGAACGACCCGGCCTACATACTGAACGATCTGTACATCACAGACTACTGCGTCTGGATCCAGAGAGTCAAGTGAGTGCACCGACACACACACACACACACACACACACACACACACACACCTCACAGACCTTCATCATCAGAGAGTTACCTGCCCCCATGATGCATCAGTGCTTTAGAGGAGAGGATTAGATGAGTCATTTGTCACAGCAGGGCGAATTGAATGGCCAAGGCAGCGAGACATGCTGCTTCTCTTAACTCCATAATCAGCAGATTCACTCCATGGGAAACCTTTTAAGAGTGCACGTGTGAGCCGGGGGGGGGGGGCTTCCCGTGTCTTCTGTGGGTGTGACCCCCACGCTGTAGCAACACTCCAAAATCCGCACTGCTCCTCTGAATGATATCGCTTCGACGGCCCTTTCTCTCTCTCTCCTCCTCCAAATCCATATTTTACAATCGCTAACGCATTTCAAATGTGAGCCCGCGAGCACATCGCTCAGTAATGAGCCCTGTTTTACTCTTGGCCAGGGTTCAGCCAAGTGGTGCGCTCGCCTGGAAAAAGCCCAGTTGAAAAATGTGTGCCTGATGTTGTAGGCTCGGCGCCCAGATGCAGACACGATAAAGGGTCTGCAGGGATTTACTGCCCCCCCATCCTCCTCACCATCCTCCTCCCCCTCCTCATATACTCATTTCTACATTTTTCCAACTGATGTCTTGAGTTCTGTTCTTAAAAGTGCTTCGGATGCTGGAATCTTAAACGAGCGATATGTAACTTTCTGCTGCTCTCAATCAAAACGGTAAAAATAAAAGTTCGCTGACGCCTAAAAGTTGCGTCGGATCGTGGGAGGAGTTGTCTCCACCACCATTGATGGACTAATGATGGAAAGAACGGCAGCAGTGGATTTCAGCAGGAGGCAGAATAATAAACGGAGTTAAAGCTCTGTGTCATCTCCCCTGTAGCTGCTAGTGTGAAGGGACTTGGACTTGGACGGGCGGTGGTAGGGGGGGGGGGCTGCACAGTCATGTTCTGCGCCTTCCCTAAATGTTTTGATAACTTGCAGGTATTGCCTGTCTTACTTGTGAGGGTTTTATTGCATTTGACACAACGAGAGTTCTCAGCATCTACTGGAGTATAATGTAGCCTCACTTTGGATCTTTTTGTTCTCTCTGCCCCGTGATGCGTGTCTCACACGCTGTACTGAGCCGGAGTCGGTCTGTGATTATGAGTAAATCTCAGACACAGATGGGAGGTTTGAGATGCTGCTTTTTTTCCACCGAGATCTCACTCTAAACTTCTTAAGTACCGATAGCAGAACCGTTAACTCCGGACCTTATCGATACTCCGGGTTTTTACTACTGTGTACTCGGTTCCCGTTTAGAACTGAGTTTGTCTACATGTATCTAGTCTGTAGACATTTGAATGTGGAAAAGTTGCTTGTCCTTTAATGGGTGGGGAAGATATCTTTCTGAGAATACACCCCCTCCCGCCCCCGCTCCCCCTCTCTGTTCCTCGGCTGTACTTTGGAACTAAATGTCAGCTTGACCTAACATGCCGGCTGCTACTACGCCCGCCATCGATCATTAAATGGATTAGCCCGCGCTCCCGCAGCAGCGACCTGTGATTGAATTGTTACATTTTCTCTTTTTGTTCCTTCTCCTGTCAATAAAGGAAGGAAGGAAGGAAGCTTCCCTGTTTTTACATCCTCGCATATAAGCCGGCATGTTGTGTAAAACACATTCGGACTTGGAGAAACCACTTCTGTCTCAAACGACTTGAAAAAGCAACACATTCGGTTCCATCGCGGGTTTTCTTGCTCAGACTCGGTAGAAATCCCACGCAGCCTTCACTAGTGGTTTTCTTCTCCCGTGTTGTTGAGAGTATGATATTAACAGAGAGCCTCCGAGTCAAAATGCAAAGCAGCACCACAGAGCTTGGCCTGTTTTTCTCTGAGGTTTTGGAGCGATTGTGGTTTTTTTTCCCCACAGACCAACCCTCCGCTGTCGCACGCGCTTGTTTGTTGTGGCGGCCCCTTTTGTGCCGTCTGACAGGTTTGATGACAGATCGCGTAGGCATGTCGCCTTCTTCGGTGCGAGATATTCCCCCCCTCCCGCGCAGGATTTTGTCATCCTCCGCTAAGTGAGTCACCTCTGGGAGCCGAGCGGTACGATGAGATGTAATCTATACCCCCCCCCCCCCCCCCCGCCGGTGCAATCCCTGCATCTTGTCACTCCGAACAAACGCAGAGGCACCTGCCGCCGTGATCAGCTGGGCATGATGGACGTGCCGATTAACGGATGTTTGTTGGCTGGGTGGATTGGGGCGGGGGTTGATTTATTTGATATACCCTCGCTGTCCCACGTGCATTTTCTACTCCTAAAGTTTCTCTGACTGCTGAGACATCGGTCTCAAATTTACAACCTCGTAAAGGCTTCAGTGTGATTTAAGCCCCAGAGCCCCCCCCCCCCCCCCTTTACTCTGACTCACAGAGTCAGAGCAGAACCCTGCACATTGAAATCAAGAGCGCGACTTCAAAGAAAAATTGCTCTTTACATTGTCTTTTTTTTCTTCTTTTTGCCACAGTGGTCACTGTTCCAGAATTTAACACAGATTTTCCTCGTGGAAACTGTTGAAACGTCCCTCTCACTCACCCACCCAATCCCATTTATTGCCAGCAGATCTTCCAAATGGAGCAGCAGTCGCCAGTCTATTAGTTTCAGGCTGTGTTTCCGAGGTCCTTGGTGCCAAAGCCCCCCCCCCCGCAGAGCTGCTGGACTGCGAACTCTTCTTTGTCGTTCCTTTACCGGGGGAAAAAAAAAAGCTTGGAGTGAGACCAGCGTAGATTCAAGGCAGCCAGCACACACACAAAGCTCATAAGCCTGGTGTCGAGTTACCGTACCTCCAGTTAAAATCAGAAGGGCTTCGACTTCCGTTTCTAGCGCTGCTTCACTTGAAACCATCCGCCCACCTCTTTATTAATTGGGTCAATTAGATTCTAGCAGGAAAAAAACCCACAAAAAAACATGGCAGCATGTAAGCGTTGTGCTCCAAGGTTTTGAGGAGGGAGGTGAGATTCATGTTTCCATATGAAGTCATTGGTAGAAAGGAAAAAAAAAAACTGTAATTTTCTTTTTGTGGAGTGAACCTGTGACTTGTCGATAAGATGTGGGGAATCGGACAATCGCACATCGCTCCAAGAGACTGGAAAATGAACAAGAAATGCTTGAGGCATAAACCGAGCCTCGCACCCTAACACATAAATGGACAGACTCAAATAGTTGTGAATGGAAGGTGTGAAGTGAGCAGCCCCCCCCCCCTCCAAAAACAATACACAAAACAATGGGTGTTGTTTTCTCTGAAGAAAGGGAGGACGACGGAGAAGAGAATGCGTGCAGCGCTGCATGAAAACAACAGAGGATGCTCCCAAGAATGAAGTCGCACACCTTCTCCATCCTGAGACCATCCTTTTGATTTCTGGAGGGTGAAGCAGCCGCCCTCCTCCTCCTCCTCCACCCTCAGCACCGTGTGCATGACGGTCGCTCCCCCGCAGAGGACCGCATCTGGAGCTCCAACAACTGGGAACGTTTCAGGGCAAAGGGGGAGGGGGTCAATTACGGGGTCAGCATGTAAGCGGTCAGATGCTTTGAGAGCGCACGTGGCGTTAACACCCCCCCCCCCCCCCCCCTGTCGTGCATGGCTGGTCAATCCACCTCAGCACACCTCTTTGTGATTGTATTACCCAGACTTTCCCATCGGCTACTTGGAGTAATAGGTGTTTTCACATCACTTGGGGCTTTTCCCGGAGAATTCAAATTAGACGTTGCGGGCTACTTCTGAAAATGGGGAATTGTCTCCGTGTGTGTGTGTGTGTGTGTGTGTGTGTGTGTGTGTGTGTGTGTGTGTGTGTGTGTGTGTGTCCAACCAACCACACAACTGATGTGACAACCAGTTGTTTGCCCGGAACCACCAGGCAGTGTCACGCAACTGTCAAACGGCCTTCCTGAAGGCTTAGAAAGCGATAATGGAGCCGCTCTATCAGATGTTAGCCTCGCCGCTGAAGGAGATCTGAGAGGCCCCCGCTGGGGAGAACAAAGATGCAAATGTCTCCCCGCTAACGGGGATAAGTAGTACAGATTTCCTCCCAGCATGAGGCCACTCCAGCTTTTTGTCTTGGTTACACAGGCTCATCTTAAACACAGACTGCGTTTGCATAATTTCCCCCATCCATGTTCGGAGTGCCCTCTCTAGTTATTACGATCGATCATGGTGAAGGGATTTCTTCCGACTAAACAACTGCTGCAAGCTTCAGCTTTCCTTTCACTTTTAGAGGCTTAATTAAACGAGATATTAACAGTTGAATGTAAAGCAGACACACTGAACATTTGTTAATACACTTTCAGGGCTTTAATGTTTGAGGGATTACATAAATCAAAAAGTGAGAGGCGACCGTAGAAGCAGATAATGAGCTGAATGTAGTTTGCAGTAAAGGCCCAAACAGTAGAGTGAAAGTTTTATCTTGCCAAGCTGCAATGTTAAAAAATACAAAACACAAAGATAAGCCCCAAAGGGCTTTGACTTTTTTTGCAATGCTGAAGATACTCCAGATACAATTTTCAACTCGACTTTTAAACTTAAATGACGATGTGGGAAACAGGAACTGGCTTTTTAAAAAATTCTCTCACATTGCTCCATCACATCCAAAGCCTTAGAGCGCGAGTGAAATGAAAAATACATTCTCCAGGTTTCAAGCCTTTGTCCCTGTGTTGATTGTTCATTTATCTCTCGTTATATATCAAATATACATAAAAAATTGACTCATGACTCATCATGCACTCACTTTACATAAAATAAATAAATCAAGTGAGACTTTGGGTGACAAGCTAGCCACAGCGCTTATCGAAAACGGCATTTGTGGATCATAGTCGCTAACAGAGCAGAACTTTTTTTAAGTGGTTCAATCAAATGTGGTACAGTGAGGTTTAAATCAAATGCGAGGGATTTGACTTAAAGTCCTCTTGTAACTGTGCACCACTCAAATATTCCATTTTGCTGGGAAATATGTCACAGTACAGAATCCAAAGACGCTCTAACTTCCATTTAGCTGGGAGTAAAAAGGAAAATGCATTTTTGAAATACACACTAACTTTCGTAGACTTGTTCATTCTTTGTAATGGTTGTGCTCACATTTTACTCACCATGGTAATCTGGGAACATGGCTGAACATGGATCATCAAAGTTATTACAATTCATCCTGAAGGGACCATGAATGTCCGTACAAAGTTTAATGGCCATCCCTCCAATAGATGTCGAGACATTTCACTCAAACCCACTCGTTGGGGTGGAAGAAAATCCAGGTGATCGCCAAAGTCAATAGGCTTCATCCTCTGGGGAACATGAATGAATGTACAAAGATTGATGGCGATCCATCAAATAGTTTTTGAAAGATTTCACTTAAAACCACAGACGTCAACCCATTGGTGGTGCTAGAGCAACAATCAGGGAATCACATAAGTCAATGGGCTTCATCCTCTGGGGAACATGAATGAATCTACAAAGATTGATGGCGATCCATCAAATAGTTTTCGAGATATTTCATCCAAAAATGATTCTGGACCATCCACATGACTGCTATTTCCAGAGCCAAGCCGCTAGCTGCCGCTTGTACATCCGCTGTTAGTACAGTAAGCCTGTGATAAACCAGGAAGTCTGCAAATTCCAATGGATATTTACAGACGAGTCGCCAAGTTTTCTGATACAAGTAGGCAATGGGATTTCAGTACAACCTTTTAAGGTCTGTCATGAAATCGTTAAGATTTTATTATAGCTGATAGGAATGATGTCCAAAGCATCAACAGATATTTATGACAAATCTGTGTTTGTACAGTACAATGAGTCTTCAATAGGCAGCTCTACGTCTGAGCTACAACACCGGCGCGTTGAATAAATACATCTGCGTTTCTCATTTCTGCAATCGAAGTGGCATCCAGTTCCTCAGACCCTTCCAGCGTTCAGTCACAGTGACGGATCACATCTCTGTGTCGGCTTTTATCCTTCCCTTCAGCTAGTGAAGGATGCAGAGTCGCACCGAGGAAATGTGCTGCTCGTATTACACAGATTTATACATCTGAAGACGAGCTTTATCTGCGACGTTTTTCAAGAGCACGAACGCGCCGATTGAGTTGCTGTTACAATGAACACGAGCACGATGAAAGAAATGTCAGATTGTAATTCAGCGCTGGCTCCTCCACACACACACACACACACACATCCCATTCTCATCGAAAGACATTGGCAGATGGAGGCGTCTTTGTCTCGCTAGAAGTTTTCCAACCTTGAAAAAGCCAGCCCTCCTCAGTTTAATGAAGGCGAGCCACAACAGCGGTGCAGTAATGACTGGATTGTGTACAACATTATCCCCCCCCCCCCCCTCCTGGACAGAGCCTTTGTATCCACCGCAGGCTGAGCTTCTCCAACCACAGAGCAAAGGAGGGGAGAGAAAACAAGCGCGCCTCCCCAATGCTAACTCAATAATGACTTCCCACGGGGGGAAAGAGAATACAGGGCAGTCTTTGAAGTGGCGGAGCTGCAGGAGGCTCTTCTGCCCCGGCCGCGCTACAGGAAGCTCTCAAGTGGCTTTTATAGAGCCCCGGACCCAAACAGGCTCCATGCAGCCTGCGCACACTCGTCATCATTAGTCGGGGCTAAATTTTTATGTCTCCAGATCCTGTAGTCGGTGTTGGGAAAGGGCCATTTGTCATTGTTTTTAAAAAAAAATGTTATTGTGCCTGAGTTTAGTGGCTTTCGCACATGGAGACCACAGAATGCTGTACTTGTACACAGACGTTAACCAGACAACATGGTCCAGGGATGGCAGTGTTGGTCGGTCGGTCCACCACTGACGCATCTCATCAACTATCAACTATTTATGACCAAATACCTGGAAAACGACATTCCCATCAGCCTCAGCGGTTCTTTGTGTTTAGCAATAATTAGCTAATGTTTCTATGCTAACACCCTAAAAGATGACACTAAATATTGTAGGCTATACCGACTTGCTGACTGTAGTGTTAAACCCAAAGCAATGCTGCGGGCTCAGACCCAAATCAGCCCGAATTACCAGTGAACATGACATACAATCTGAGTCCAGTATGAGAGCGGGGACTCTGAAGACTTTCTCAGATGCCAAAAGGTTGTTTGTACTGCAACACTATCACACAGGAGAAGCTTATTTTGTCTTTCATTTCAGCAATTGCTTCCGTTCTCCGTCCGTGGCCCATTGGTTCCTACTGAAGATGTAAGTCATTAAAAAACAGGTCAAATGTGTATTTTTCTTTCATTGTTAAATAAGGCAAAAATAATGTCGTACGAGAGCTGGGCACTGCAGTAATGATGGAACATGTCGCTCAGTGCACCAGTGGGGCTCGTTGATTTGATTTTAATAAGAGCCCTATGGCACAGAGGAGCTATTTTAGGCTTTAGCTACACACATAATACTTGTCAGTAGGATCAATAGAATGCATTAAAGGATTAATATGGTAATACAGAATATTACCATATTTAATGCCAGAAGCAATCAAATTCCTCTTCATAATGTACATGCATTTTTTTTTTCTTTCTTTCTTTTTAGTGTCTTGTGGGTTTTATTTGACAGGATTTACAGCTTTTGTAGCTTGAGAATGTCGTGCATTTTTTTTCAGCCGCACTCTCATCTCCACAACTGAAACCAGGGGGGGGTTCAAGATTTTTCTTTCTACATTGTGAGCTGGCAGGTTGCCCGAGCATCTTAGTAGGGGGAAAAAATCGACTTTGGCTACTGTTTTCAAAATCTGCCACGTTGTGACCGAGAAAACTGCCAAAACATTTTTGGATTAAGGGCGCCATGTGAGAAAGGGCATCTCCCCCCTTTCCCACATCCCCCCCACCCCACCCCCCAAAAGATTATTCCTTTCTCGGTGTACAGAGGAGAGAAAGGTGCTCCACTATAAGATCTGTTTACATAGTCCCTCCTGAGGTGCTAGGTGAAAACACAGCCCCTCCACGCTGCTTCCATAAACACTTTACCCACCAGAATGGGGAGCTCATTAGGACGGCACGCTAATGAGGAGCCATCCTGGCGCTCAGCAGTGGGTTAATTGGGCCAGAGAGGGCAGCGAAGCCCAGTGTGAAAATGTGAATGGCAAGCGGAGGAGTAGCCCCTCCACACACACACACACACACACACTTTATCCCACCCTGAATGGACATCGTCTGAATCGCAGTGACCCGCAGAGGTCATCTTGTAATCACCATGGCAGTAGGGGCGGTACACACGCCTTAACTGCGCCGGCCAACGAATGGCAACCACTTAAGTTTTTGGCAGCGTGGCGGGCATTCCCAGCGTGAATAATGTGCAAGCGAGGGCCTCCCAACAATCTGATGGCTCCACACAAATGGGGGGGCCGTGTAGGAGGACATTCAACAGCAATAAAACACCTTCGCTCCCTTCAAGGAGCCCCTTGTGTCTTCTGTGGGCACACAGCTATAAAACTGAAGTGAGGGGGGGGGTTGTTTAATGCACTGCTTTATGAGCGCATTCTCTCAATCTTAATCTGCGGAGACGTTCAGCGGCGGGGCTGCAGCTCGCAGACGTTCTCTGTCCAGACTTTTGTTGACTGCAATCTGTTACCCTGCTTCCATTCTGCAGGATTTATTCTCAAAATGTGCCCGTGTCCATTCGACTGGAGCGCGGGAACGTTCCCCAAGGATCAGGAACCTTTTGAGGAACTCGTCGCACTTCGATCAGGGTCGAAATTAAGTTCCGGGGATATTTGACCCCCTAAAAAAAGGCCCTGGTCCTGGGGCAGTACTTTCTGAAAGTACAGGAACTTTCAGGGTGGGGTTTGCGGGGATGACCGTGGCTGATTGGTGAAACACACACAGAGCTGCTGCTTCAACGCGTGTACCGGTTCATACCGGTTCATAAAGCCAGGAAGATTTGGGGTTCATTTTAGGACGATGGGAGCACGTTTCTCTTTCTGCGATAACACTAAAGGTGATGTCGGGCCTTTGCTGCCGGTCGAGCGGTAGAAGAGAGAGAGAGACAGCTCGGCGGTGCTGTGAGTGACGCTCACAATGAAAGGGTTATTCTCTTGAGTGTTTTATGGCGGAATGCGTTCTAAAGCACAAATAAAATACAACCATCAAACACTCAACAGATGGTTTACTTTGGAGACAGACGCTCTTAGTTTAATGTTTCCTCCTCTGCCCTTCGTTCATTACAACGTGCGTCAGTAAATACTGTACAGCAGTAAATGTCGTCGCAAATAATGTATTCATAAATGCAAACGGCAAACGCGACAACTTCAGCAGCCCTCTTCAGTCTCCAGGTCTTTCAGACCGCCAAGGAAACGTGGACAACGATGGGCTGAAGGAACCTTTTGGAAGTAGGTCCGGGACAAAAATGATCAGGAACGTCTTGGTAAAAATGCGGCTTTAGATCCGTCTACGGCCCGATTGTTGGATAAAATATCCGGTGAAAAATCTCCCTCCCCCTCCCGCACCGTTTGCAGCCTCCGACTGTTGGCCTATCCTCTCAAAATGTGGAGGTGAAAGTGAGAGGGCGGCTGCATGCGCACGACGGGGTGGAGGAGTCTGCCTCTCTCTCTCGCGCTCTGTAATCCCTCTCTTATCACCTCTCGCAGGGAGAGCAGCAGCAGCGGTGGTGGGGGAGGGGGGGGAGGAGGAGGAGAGTACGAGCCCCGCGTATCGCTGCAGCTCATCTCCCTACATTATTAAACATCCATATTTCCATATTTCATTGAGCCCCCCGCGCCTCGGCAAATCGCGGTCTACTTAGCATTCAGATGAGAATGGGATATGGTTAATGGGTATTAGATTCGTAGATGGTTATCCTGTGGCTATGTCTTTAGTACGCAGAGCCGGTCGATCAGTCAGTCTCTCCTCTCTCTCTCGGGTACCACTGATGAAGTTGTAGTTTGATGTCTCTTTTATTTTCCCTCTTTGCGCCGTCCTGCTCCAGATTTATTGAGCAAAGTGACACTATGTTTTCCTGTCCTAGCTTTTTCTTTTTATCCCCTCAGGTCTAAGAAGATGTCAGCCTTGGCCGTGACGTTACAAAAAGCCTCCCTGCGGAAAAAAGACCTGGAGCTGGAACTCGAGGAGCTAGAGGAGGCAGCGACAATGGTGGCCGATGAGGAGGAGGAGGAAGATGAAGAAGAGGGAGCAGCCTCCGACTGCGCTCCGATATCCCACAGTGACAGCGGTGGAGCTTCCAGTGACAGCAGCAGCAGTGACTCGTCCGACGAGAGCGAGGAATCTGAGGCTGAAGGGCAAAGCTGCACCGAATCCAACGTGGGAGGAGGAGGAGGAGGAGGAGGAAGAAGAGGAGGAGGAGGGAGGGCGTCTAAGGACAGCCCTCCACAGCCCCAACCTGTCTCGGCTGCCTCTCACATCCCCCAGGAGCCCACAAGCACACCCTCCTCAGCCTCACAGGGCTCCAGCCTGCTGATCCAGGAGCTGGGGGAACGGGTGGCGGAGGAGCTGAGAATCTCTCAGGACTCGCGGGCGAACAGCGGCGCGGTGAAGGCGGACGCAACGTCAGGGAGCCGGAGTACCGGCGAGACTTTGTTGGAGCCGAGCCCTCGCAGAAACCCCCTGCTAATCGTCGGAGCGCTGGAGGATCGAGATGAGAGCGACTTTGTCGGCTGAGAGACGTCGTGGGAACCTGAGAGACCACGCGGATGAATTTTGAACTGTTGCCTCTGTGTAAGAACATGAGACTATTTTAACGACTTCATTTCTAAACGGTTTTTAGTGCTTCAACCCTCTGAATGACCTTAATTGTCTGTAAGGAATTGTATTCTCTTACTTTATGAACTTGCTAAGCCTCATTAAAATCCTTGCTTGATATTGATATTGTTTTTTTAATGAGCAAGTGTACGCTTGTCATTTAATTTTAGGATAGAAGAGAGGCAGACTTCTTCTGCCTCATGTGTTTTATCGCTACTGCAAGCTCTGTGCTCTACAAATAAATGTTCACTCTCTGAACATGCTCGTGTTTGATCGTTTGATCTTATATGAATTGTTTCGTCTCCCTTTTTAATTATTGAAAGTAATTCAACAGAGTTCGTGAACTAGACCTCCGCTGCTGGTGTAAAACTTCTCTCCTACAATATATGTGTGTAGCTGTAGTAACAAATTCAGTCTATAAATGCATGTTGGGCTCGAATAAACCAAACGGGAATGTCATTCCAGGGAGTTGACAAACACGGTGACAGACAGACGAGGCGGTTTCAGAGCTACTTTTAGGGAGCTTTTCTTTTCCCAATAAATAGAAGGAAAAAAAGATCTACCCGCCCTCCCAAAGCATTGATGGAAGTGGAAAAGACTCTTGTCGGCACTAAACAGGGTCCGCGTGGGGGGTGATCGATGAATCTGGCACGAACGGCAGGAGCGCCGTCAACACGGCTCAATATCCCGCGTGGGAGAAACACAAACAGGGAAGCACATGTCGGGGCAGATAGATGAGGGCCGCCAGCGCAGGAGCCCGTTTGTTTTTGAGAGATAAGAGCACCCCGGGCCCCCCCCCCCCCCCCCCCGAGGGCAGCGAGGACTGTCTGACACTCTCGGCCAGCTCATGCGTGGAGATGTCCTCGTACATTTCGGCTGCAGCGATATCCACCGACCCCTGCGATGAAATAGATTTTGATTTGTGTCCCCAGAGTGCGCTTGGGGTTCATTACTGTAATTGAGGGTGAGTTACAGAAATGGTTTTGTAATCCTAAAGGGTCATAACTGGCTGAGGGAGTGATTGGTCAAGCACAGCCACGTATGTTGCCTCTGGCTTTTTTTTTATTTAAAATTTTTCTTCCTGCATGAATGGAGGCCGCTCGGGAGGAGCCACCGGCGAAGATGGCTCCTCGGGTAGGCGGCGTCCGCGGTGTTGTGTTACTGAGATGGATGGTGTTGTTAGAACACCTCCCAAGAAGAGACGACCTCCTTGCAGCTCCCCCTTGCAGCTCCCCCTTGGGAGCGAGCGCCATCATTGCTGTGACTGAGATGAGTTACATCGCGAGAGCCGGCCCATTCAAAACTCCCCCCCCCTCTCTCTCTCTCGTTCCTAGGGACATGAGTCTGGGGACCGCCGCCCCACCCCCACACCCCCGCGGTCGGCGCTTTCCTCTCCCCGCTGGGGTTTCACATTGATTAAGTGACACCGAGCTCTCTTGCCGTTTTTCATTTTAAAGTGGCCTCCATATTACACCCTCCCCACCCCCCCACACCCAACCCATTAGCGCAGACGTCTCGGAGCCTGACCGGGGGATCCGCGGCCAAGCCCGGCACTTCACTCGGTTCTTCTGCAATTAATGCTCCTCGCCGACGGGACATTTTTCAAGAGACGAGGGCCGTGGCTTTAATGAATGTAGCTGATAAATTATACAAGGGCAGTAATAAATGTGATGTCTATGCTCTATTTTCACTTGGATTTGATAAATCAGCCCCCTTATTCGTGTAGTGAGAGTGCCCTCTGACCCTCAAGGGTTCAAGAAAGTGGAGTAATGTGTTCAGGACTCCTGTGGGCCACGTTGATAATTAGCCCATTAGCAACAGCGCATGTCAAATAAGGGAAGGCCACGAAGGCTGGTGATATATTTGCTTTTCACCCAACGCGTAACGGCTGCGTTGTCCACATACGTACTTGCGTACTTTATCTGTAGCCTACCTGGAGAATATGAAAGTAAGATGCAAGGCCATCATCTCCGGGCGCCACCAGAATATCTTTCTTGAGAGTTCTTGAAGCTTTTTTGAGAAGACAAAGGAGCCATAGCATGCGGGAGCTCGCTCTCAACCTTGGAAATAGCTTTTTTTCACTTTCTTTGCTGAGGGTTAGATGAGAAGATCAATTCAAGGCTCATATCTCTAAAGCTCACTACTCGGGTGAAACTCCAGGAAGTCACTGTACCCGACCAAGAAATAGTCTGGTACACAAACCCTCCCGTAAAACCCCATTGTGTTGTTTTTTTACTGGTTGACAGAGTTAGATTAGCTCTTTCCCACCCGTTTCCAGTCTTTATGCTAAGCTAACCGTCTCCTGACTTCATATTCAGTGTTGCCAACTTGGCGACTTTCTCGCTAAATCTGGCGACTTTCCAAACCCTCATGGCGACTTCTTTTGTCAAAAGCTACTAGCGACAAATCTAGCTACTTTTTCTGGTGTTGTTGGAGACTTTTCTGGTGTTTTGACTCTGACGTGAAAGCACGTACCGTTCGGCACGCGGGAGCTGCCGTGAGCCCCTCCGCCGCCCCAAAGCACTCAAAGGCAGTTAGTCTCACAGTAGCCCCTCGCGCAGCAGTCCCAGCTGCAGAAAGATGAGACCCACACTCTCCGTGTCCAGACTGCAAATGAATCGTACGTTAAGCATCTTTATTGCATCTTGCGAAAAAAGAAAAAAAGAAAACGACAATGTGGGTAGCCATTCTGTGCAGGAATGCATAGCTATAATCAGCTTATATATGAGCGGCTTAAGACTTATTTGCTTATGCAAATACCGTCTGTTGTATGTGTGGAGAAGGATTTGACCCCATGAACTAACACACAAACTCATTTGAGATCATTCAAGGTTCCGTGTCCGTGCAGATTAACCTTTAACCTTGCTCGCCACCGCTATCCATAATTCAAACGTGATCTTGCTAACGCGACAATGTTGGCTATTCCCTCCCTCGGTTTTTTTTTGTTGTGAATGGGGAGGAGGCGGCATCAAGGACGACGTGGCTGCTGCCCCCCCCCCCCTGTTGATTGCAATAGAAAACTCAATCTCCTCTGCCTGTTCCTGAGAGCCAAAGTGATTCTGGTGCTTGAAAAGATTAATAGCCCTCAAGAAGAAATGAATCAGGTGCTCTCCAGGGCCTGCCCCCCACCCCCCACCATCATCTCCTCCAATGGGCGTGCAAATAGAAATCCTTTTGTGCTACCCTCTTTCTCCCAACATGGCCGTGTCTCCCCCGGTGCCGCTCGGCTCTCCCTTTTGTGGCCTCCGTACTGTGTCATGTCGCTCCCAGGCTTGGCCGGCGAAGAGACGAGGAGCGGCTCCGGCGCTCGCGGAAAGAAGAGAAAAAGAAAAATGGAAGCAGGTGGCCGGTCATTCTTCCGGCTTTTGTAGCAGGCCCTCTCGTAAGTGACTGGCGTATGGGAACGAGGTAATGAGAGCATGGGATGTTTCAGTGTCTCTTCAGGCTGACAGCGCTGACGGTGGAGGGATTATCTAAATGGGCTATTTTCATGCACTTAATCACAAATGAAACAGTGAAATACACTCTTTTCCAACACACACCCACACACCTGTGTGCGTGTGTGTGTGTGTTGACAGTGCCGGCATCCACTTGTCGTCAGTAGCTTCGCCTGGCTGATTAACTAATTGGTGTGAGCAATGTCCGTTAAATCACTCCCTAACTCTCGGTGGACATGTGCTATCAGCCGGCTTAATGCTGCAAATTGCCTCTGCCGTGCTAGAGCTGCGTGTCTGTAGGTGTGTGAGTGCGTGCGTGTGCGCGAGGAAGAAATCCTGTCAGCGTTCTACCACCTTGTTAAGTGCGTTGGGGTCGATCGCAGGGATGTAGGTAGGTGTTAAGGTAGAGGAGAGTCACTTGGATGAGGACCCACGCACTGAGGCTTCTTCAACGCTTTGACCTGCTGATATCTGAATGTCTGTTTTGAACTACATATATTCCACTCAGTAGGCTTCATTACAGAGCAACCGTCCCTTCCCCCAGGACGTGTCGGTACAGCTCGTCAACATTTCACATTGGTAAACAACAGCCCATTTCTAATGAGGCTGCTTCCACAGACTGCGCTGCCATCTCGAGCCCGTTCTCCCTGTTTTCCCCACGACAGTTGTTCCTTATCTGAGCCAGTCCACGCTCGAGCGTACGTCTCTGCGCTTTCCAAAAAAAGAAGCTCCGGCCTTGTGTTTGTTTTCTCAGCTAAAACAGCTGTCAAACACGATTAATATTTCAGCGAGAGAATGGCGCTGGAGGGAACCTCTAAGTGCTAGGGGAGTTGGAAAAAACAAAACGACGCTGTTGCTTTTTTTTTTTTTTTTTTTGCTGCTCTCCCTCCTCGGCATATTTTGCCTCCATCCTGCTCCGCTTTTCGTGGAACTGAGCGTCTCTTTTGTGACTCTTGAAAACAAAAGTGACGCAGGGTGTGGAAATCAAAACAACACCGGGGGAAAGCTCTCCCGGTTTGGTGTCAGCAAGCTGTTGGCGTATCACTTCATTCCAAGCTAGGGGTAAGTTTGAACGGCTCTTTGGTGTTTTCCTTTTCAGCAGAGGAAGAGCAGATCAGGGCTTCGTCGGGAAAGAAGGGGGAATCCTCTGAGCTGAACCTCCGAGGCCGTGCCGGTGTTTGCTCTGCCTTGGGTTCCACGGGACGGTGCCCTTTAGCCTCCGTGTTAAGCCCAAGTTTCTGGAGCAGAGCGAGGCTGAGCCTCAGACTAACGACGCCTCACGGATGTTGGTGTGTTGCAACCAGACGGTGAACAAAGGTTTCTCGTGCTCGCTATCCCCGAGCGCCCTGCACACGAGCTCCCCCGACACCGCCAACACGGATAAAAGCTGCCGCTCCCGAGTCGACACTGAAACGTGCTCCCCTCCTTTTTTTCTAGATTCGCTCGGCTCTAGTTGTTTCTGTTGACATGCCCGAAAGCAAACAAACTTGTGGACTTTCCACCGTGATCATCCTGCAACGTTTCGTCTGCGGCACCACCGCGGCTCTCTTCCCACATAGTCCGCTGCACTTTCTTTAACCTGCTCTTTCTATTTCATGCTCTGTCTCTCACACTCCCTCCCTCGCCCTCTCACTTGTGGCCTTCTTTCTTATCTCCACCCAGCTCCTCTCTCACAGATCTCTC